CAAGCATCCTCATACCAAGTTTCAAGACTTACGACACAAAATTGCACAGTTAAAAACCCTAATTGCACTATAGTCAACTGTAGGGGCAAAATGGTCATTTGACAGTCAAAAGTTCAAATTTTTGGTCAACATCTCATTTTGAAGCCACAAACATCATTTGATCAATGATTGATCATGATTCTCAAAGCTTGGCTCAAAAATCATCAAGATGCAAAAGTTTCCATATTTGGACAGTTAAAAAAGTCAACTATAAATTGACCAGGGCATAACTTTCACATGGATTATCAGAAAAATTCCATCCAAAGCTCATTTTGAAGAGAAAGACATTTCCTACAACTCCTCTTCACACTTCAAGTCCAAGAAATGCTCTCACAAAAAGTTATCAATTTCAACATTATAGGTCATTTTCAAAAGTCAACAAAAAGGGACTTTAAGTCAAAGGCCATAACTTTAGATTGGTAAATCAAAATGACATGGGACCAAATACATTGTTTAGAGGACTCAAAGACCTTTCCAAAATGTCCAAGAACATGAGCAAAGCTTAAAAATTGAGCAAGTTATGCCTTGTGGAAATTGGGAAATTTTTGGATATTTTGAAAAGTCAACATTGCTTCAAATGACCTAAAAATGCTAATGGGCCTCTTTTTCTTCCACAATTCATCACCCAAAGCATGTGCACGACCATTTGGCCCAAAGGGAAGTTTTTCATCATTTTTATTTATTTATTTGGATTTTTAATAACTAATAATTCATTTAATTAAAATAATTATGTGGAAAATACTAAACTTAGGTTTTTAAATCTTTTTGTGCATGAAATAGTCTTGAGATTTTGTGTATAATCAGATTTGGAAAGAATCTTGTTAATTGGCCATGATTGGAACTAAGTTTGCATGAAAAAGATTTGAAAACTAATGCATGGAAAATCAAATATCTTATCATCAATTCATGGATTTTTTTGATCAAATGCTCAACCCTAATCACTCACACATATATACATATGCTAACCCTCATGCCCATAAGCTCCCAGCTGCGCAGAAAAGCCATAACAAAAACTTGAATTTTCTCAAAAAAGTCCAACACTGAAAACTGTCCTCCAGGGCGATTCAAGCTGAGATAATCATCTCATCACCTTCCTGAGACATCAAGAAACGTTTTTGAATCACTTTCCACGTCCCTAACGCCCAGAATCGGTGAATAGGATTCAAACTTTTTCACATTTTTTTCATAATCGTGTTTTAGTACTTAAGCATTTTCCTGGTATTTTGTTTATGGATTCATACTAAGTGATGTATTTTGAAGCTAACCACATACTTTGATTGAGTTTTTATGTACTATATGCGATTCCACCATTGATACAGGTTAGGGTTCTTTGAGGTCCAAATTGGGCGTTTCTAAAAGCTATAAAATTAGAACATCATAATGCCATGAATGGATTCAGCGTGCTTGGACGAAAACAATGGAACCCTCGCGCCTAATTTATGAGGCCATATGGCCTATTCGCTATTTTGAAAACAAGCTTGTTTTGGGGGGGTTTAAAACCCCCGCTAACCTTTTTTTATTTTCAGGGAAAACACAAACGATGAAGAAGATGATTAGGTGGCCACCAGTGATTGGGTTGTTTGAAAATTCGCGCGAAAAAGGCACTAACGCGTTGTTTTATTTTATAATAATTGTTTGTTATTTAATATACAGAAAGCGCAAGTGGAGCAGTTGGCAAGGCATTTGGTTGATGATCCCTGGGACCTGGGTTCGAATCCCAGGTCCCCCACCCCTTCAATACTATTTTTCTATTAATGATTCTATGCAGTTTCGACACTAAGGAACACCATACCACCCTTGATCCAACTATGCCACGCGCCCACTGGAGACTCTCTGAGAGCCCAGATCTGAAGAACATCATGGGCCTTAGTCAACCATGCATATGGGAACGTGGAAAAGTCAAATAAGGCCTTAAGAACTTTGGGCCAGCCATGCTAACAAGACCTCCCATTTGGGGACAGACCCCCCTTAGGTTTGCAATCTTTTATATTTTCTTCATTATTCTATTTATTTCAATTATTTTTTTTAATTAATTCCTTTAATTTAATATTTTCATGAAAAACATAAAAAACAATATAAAATCAGAAAAAGACAAAAAAATAAGTATTTTTATTTAATATTATTTTTTGTAAATAAATAACATTAATTGATTTTAGTTTTAATTTAGGTTTAAATCTTAATCTTTTTCTAATAAACTTAAAATTTGTAGAATTAGGGTTTGTATTAATTTTTTATCCCTTTTCTTTTCTTTTCTCTAAATAATTAAATATTTCCTATTATTTTTATAAATCAAAATTGCATGTAAATAATTAGGTTAATTTAGGTTTAACTTTAATACTTTCTTAATAAACTAAAAAACAATTAGAATTAGGGTTAACATTTTAATTTCAATTAATCTTTCTCATTAAAGCCATAAATGCAACAAATCTCAAAAAAATAATTTCTTTTTCTTTTTAATTTAATTAATTTAACAATTTAATTTAATTTCGTTAAAAAAGGGTCCAACGCCCTCGTTTCTAATTTTAATTCATATTCGCGCATTTTATTTATTTCTTGTAAATATTAGTGTAACTCTCCCAAAGCCTTGTAAACTCGGACATTTTAATCTTTCGCACTTTGCTTTAATTATTTACTTTCTGTCAAATCGGGTCCTGGAAATTTTGGCGATGTGGACCCGCGCCTTTGTAATAGTTTAGGAACTTTATATTTCTCGCAATTTTTAACTATTAATAATGACATGCAAGAATGAATGATAAAATAAAAACAAACGCATAGATCACTTTGACAAAAGACAAAAATAAATGAAAACGACACACAAATCACACATCACCCCTAGGGTACGCCTCACGGTTGCCCTGCCTCGAAAGGTGATCGTCGAGTAGAGGATGTCTTAGTAAGTCCTCATGATCCGGGAACCTGGCATGAGGGTAGCTTCTAAGGTGTCTTCCCATTGCTCTGGTGATCACCATGTCCCGAACCTCGAATTGACCCGAACACCTCAAACGGTGGTGCTACCTACCTCTCAATGGTGGGATGGCACTACTTTAAAGGACATTTACACAGACGAATTCCTTAGGGTAGGTAGACGACTCGTAGATACTTGCTCTATTCAAAAACAAATCAAAACTCTTTTCACACCAACACATTTTCAAAAAGCTTTCGAAAGCATTTTTTCAAACACTCTTGAGGACTGATACAAGAGTCGAACTGGAATTTTCAAAGAAACTTTTTAAAACCCACAGTTGAAAAGCAAACAAACCTTTTGAAAACACAAGTGAGCAAGTATCTAAGAGCCCATGGATAACCATGGATAGAAAGGGTGCTAACACCTTCCCTTTCTATAAATCTACCTCCCGAACCGAGAGCAATCTCTATAAGGAATTTTTCTGTGCTTTTGTCCTTTCCATTTGGAGAAAAATAAAAGACGGTGGCGACTCTTGCTTCCGCGACATTTTGCGAACCAGCGTTAAACAGTCAGTTCCAGATCCACCGATCACAATGAAGAAAAAGTGTTTGGTTGAAGGTTAAGCTCAAAGATTAGTAAGCTTCAATGAAAAACTTACTAACTTTAATGGAAACAGACCTTTAGATGAATTTGGTAGATGAATAGAGTTTAGAGAATTTTTAACAAGGTGGATTTAACTATCAAAAGCTTGATGAATGAATGAAATGAGGGCTCTATTTAAAAAATTTAGGTTTGAGATTATTGGTGGTTTGGAGTTTGGTTTGGAACCAAAATTAGGCTTGGTAATTAATTTTTGAGTCAAAATTAAGATCAAGTGGTGCACATGTAATCAAATGAAGATGCGTGATAGAATTTAATTATGATGAGATAGAGAAATTATTTTTTAGTAATCAAGAATATTCTCAAAAAAGAAGAAAATTGGAGTCACATGCTGCAAACTTGAAAATTGCTCTCTTTTTGTCAATTTCGCGCAGGAAACTAGTTTCTCCATATAGGGAAATTGGTTTTTGCTATAAAGACTGGAATCCAGGTGCAAAAACAATGAGGGATACCGGTTTCTTGAATATGGAGAACCGATTTCTGCAGGAAAAAAGTGGCAAAAAGCATTGTTGGTTGGATGCTTTGGCTCGGTACCTACAAAACATAAATGTACAAGAAAATAAAACAAATATTTTTGGTATTTTGGGTTAGAGGTCAGTAAAAACAAATTAAACACATACGTGCATGATACACAATCAGGGTGCTTGATGATCTCTCAAGGAAAAACCTAAAGATAAAAATGATAGTCAACCCGAATGTGTGATCTTAATGTATTGTGATGATATGAAATGATAGGGGTCTTTTAAAGACAAAATTTAGGGTATAACAATCCCGATGTACCTCCCTTTCATATCTCTCTCTTTACTTTCTACATTAGAATTCGCATGTTTTAGATTTTTATCGCTTAATTAGATTATCATGATTTAGGCTTTTAATATCTATTGGTAGGAATTTGTTTGTAAAACATAGGTTTAGTTAGAATTAATCTCCTCATTATCTATTTGTTTATTATAATATAAAAGTTGTAGTCTATGCTTAATTTAATTTTACTAATACACTCAATTTGAATCAATATAACTTAAAGCTAATTTTTTTTATATCTCATCTTCATAGGTTTGTAATCTTTGACTCACTTACTATAATTCATCAAACCACACATTGTTTTTAAATTGATAAAGTTTATTCAAGCCCTTTTTAGACTCTTGTGTCATCATATTCATCGACAAAGATCATATTAAAGTCTCACCTATGTGAAGGGTATATAGGTCATTAAAATCATATCCAAAGTCACAAATCCTCAATGTGATAATTACATGGTAGAACCAAGCCCCTTTCTATGACTTTCTATCCACAAAATCTACATTGTCGCTACCACTCAATTATGTTTCAACTATCTTCTTTATCCACAACCACCTAGTACTCTCACACAAAAAAAAAAAAGAAGAAAACTCTCAACATGGCGGCTTTGGCCTCCGCAACCGCCACAGTCTCCTCCGTCGCCTTAAGACTCCCACCATCTTCTTCTTCTCGCGTCTCTCTCGCATCGGTTAAACTCCCTTTCTCAAACAATGTCAATTCCCTCAAACTCAATTGGTCCGGTAGCATTTCCGCTCCAATTCTTCACCAAAACCATTCCACTCTTACTTCTCCTCCTCGTTCTCTCACAATCGTATCCGCTAAAGGCTACAAATTGAAAACTCACAAGGTATTCTTAAAGTCTCTCTCCATCTTCCACTCACTCGTTTTCACCCTTGTATTTTAACTTATTTCAATTTCATTCTCCACAGGCTTCCGCCAAGCGATTTAGGGTTACCGGTGCCGGTAAAATTGTGCGGAGGAGAGCAGGGAAGCAACATTTGCTATACAAGAAAAATAAAAAGAGGAAATTGCGTCTCTCCAAAATGGTTTGTTTCTTCTTCTGCATCTCCACTCTTTACCTTTCTGTTCTAACTATTTGCCTGCTATGCTTGTAATATGCTTTTTGTTTTCTGAATTTATTTCCTGTTATTTCCATGTCCATATATGCTGATACCCCTAAAGCCATTTTGATCTTATGCACAATTATTGTTTCTTAGGAAGATACTTTGTTATAAGTTTCCTTGGTCAGGTAGTTATTGTATGAGAATGTGAAATTTACTCATTTTAGCGCTCAATAGCAGGTCAGATATTGTTTAGAACATTGCATTATACTCAAAAAGTTGACATTTGTCTGATCGATGCGGTCTTGGTTGAAGCTTGTGTTATGTTAATAGGTTACTAAGTACAAACAGTTAGTTGTTAAGTTAGTTAACTAAGAAATAAGGCATGTTGTGTCTAAATAAAAAGGAAGCCTTAGAGAGTGGAATTGGTGAGCGAAAGGGCTTTTGAGCATTTGGGAGGGTGGCAAGACATTGAAACTCTGCTGATTGTTTGTATTTAAGGGAAATGTTCCCTATTTTCTCTGATAAAATTCTGGTTTCCTTGAATAATCTATACATACAATATATACTTTAAGTTTAGCTATTAAACATGGGTTTGAACTAGATATGTCTAAAAAGAAGCCTTATATGGCATATGTATTTAAACCATGTCATTTAATTAAAATATTTGTTAATCAAGACTTGCACATCAAAATTAATATACTATAGGTATTCCAAGTTGCTGCACATTTTCAGTTGTTTTTTCATAATCATAACATAACATCCACAACATACTTGTCTACTGTCTGCAAATGTCTATCAATTAAACTTTATCAGTAAATTGATGTGAAGTAATAAATTTAAACACACATATTAAGTTATGGAATAGATTTCTTCATCTCTTAACATTTTTTTTTATTGCCGAGCACAGGTCCAGGTCAACAGAAGTGACTATGACAATGTAATTGGAGCATTGCCGTATCTGAAAGTAAACAGACAAGCTACATAAATAAATGCTGTGGTTGCAAATTTGAGTCATGAATCTAGCCCTGTTTAGACTGATGAATTGTGAGATCTCCAATATCTTTTTACAGTATTTGAAGGTTGTTTAATTTTACAGATGAATTGAGATAGTTTCTGCCACTTGAAATATATCAGTGGCTCGTGAAGATGTTGCCTTTCCTGTATCATGTAATAACAATTTGTATTTATATCATTGTCATTTCTACTATTTGCATTTTACCATATCTTCCTGATTAGTATTATTGCATTTCATGTGTGGTGAATATTTTTTTAATGAATTTTTGGTGGTGAATCATGTGGTCACCATAATCTATCTGGTTATTTGAGGTAAGAATTCCCACACGCACGGAAGGAAAAGAGTTATGAACTTTCTGTTGGTTGAAAATTCACCAATTCCTATGATGAATTTCTATCAGTCTTGATAAATAAGATTGTTATCACCACACAATAACGATGAAAAATATGAATGAAAGAAAGAAATACAATGATTTTCTGTCGAGTTTCTTTCTGTCCACAAACTCTGGAAAAATTCTTATTCATTTGTAATTGCAAATCCTGTGAATACAACATGATTGATTACAAGAATATGGGTTACTCTCTCTATTTATAATTGAGTTTGCTTTTTCCCTAAGTCAAAAAGTCTAAAACTAAAAAAGCAAAAAATACTTATTTTGAAACTAAATCAAATTTATTTATTTTAGACTTAAATCAAATATATCTATTTTAAATCTAAATCAAATCTTTGTCTAACAAACTGCTTTCACACTTCAACACTTCCTTGTTTTCTGTCGAGCAAGCTACTTTGACACAAGTGTTGTACTCTAAAATTTGTCCTCTCATGTTTTCCAAGATCTTTTCTTACATGGTTTGTTACAAACACTTACCTAAAGAAAATAATTTTTTTTGAAGATAATCAAGTGTCTTTCGATTGGTCTCTTGACAAGCTTCGATTGGGCATCTAAATCCTTCGAGCAAGCTTGGTTTCATAGTCTTCGATTAGGTATTTGGCACTCTTCGATGCAGGTCTGATTCACAAGTTTCGAGTGGGCGATGGGGCCCCTTTCGATCACGTTCAAATCACAAGGCTTCGACTGCGCATTGGCTACTTCAGGCTTGCCTTCGATTCACAAGGCTAACGGCCTCTACAAGTTCCCTTTGACTCACTAGGCCAAAAGCTCTTTCATACTTGTTTTGGATTCACAAGGGCAAAGGTTTCTTCTATGATTGCCTTCAACGCATAAGGCAAAGACTTCCTCTGTGCTTGCTTTCAAGACCAAGACCCCACAACACAGTTTCTGCACTATGACACACAATATGACACCTTTGAAAGAGCACTCCAAAAGTCCATTTGAAGGACACATATTGATGGCCATTCGAAGGAGACACATAATTAATGAATGCAAGTTTGTCTAATGATGGGTCTTGGTCCTACATGTAGCCAGATCCAAGTCTCTTGTGCAAAGACATTTGAAAGAAGTGACAAAGGAGGCTTCGATTGACAGAATAAAGTTCTCACTTGGGGGTATTTGAATCAAACAGCTAAGGCAAATAGAGGGGTCCAATCTAAAGCCATTCGAAGGACACGTAAATGATCCATTCGAAGAAGCAATTTAAAGGCCCATTCGAAGGACACTTAGTGTTGTCTGGAAAAAAAAAGGGTTTGGTCAAAGACTAGATCTAGTTGGTCAAAACGAAAGAGAAATATGCAAAGATGATGGCTGGTCCAAAATCCCACATATTTCCATACTCAAGCTTCCTGCACAAGCATTCATACTGAAGGAAGCTTCGATTAGCCTGGAAAGAGTTTTCGTTGGGGCTAGCTGAGTAGGGGCTCAATCGAAGAGGCCCCAATGATGAGACTTGAGCCATTCGAAGGAGACAATTCTGGCCCAATCGAAGAGCAAAGATAAAGGATACTTCAAAAGCATGATTAACAAGTGTCCTTTGTTTTCTCCCTAAGCCAAAAAGCCCAAAACTAGAAAAGCGCAAAATAGTTATTTTAGAAATAAAACAAATCTATCTATTTTAGACCTAAATCAAATCTATATATTTTAGATCTAAATCAAATCTGTGTGTAACAAACTGCTTTCACGCTTTAACACTTCCTTGTTTTCTATCGAGCAAGCTGCTTCGACACAAGGAATTATGCTTTCAACACTGTCAAGTTTTTTGTTATGAAAAAAAGATATTCATGTTAATATATTTTGCAAAATAGTACAAGTGTTGCAAAATAGTATCATGTACTCTTGCATAGGTCCTATAGTATTGCATCGGGAGGATTCAACATTTTATTAGGTCTTATAGAATTACTCAAAGTCAGGATCTTAGGGACACCGAGATTAATGATCATATCAAATTCCGAAATCAAATGACCAGGTTTGGTTGGCGTTGCCCGATGGTCGTGTAGGTATTCCATCCCAAAAACCAATTGACACAAATCGATATTAGTGGGTAGACCATGGACTGCTGAGAGCTATCTCTCTTTTTGACAACATGGTCAAAGTAAAAAAGTTCTCTTGTAGAAGTAGGTCTGCGTCTTGATTAGACGATTGTCCTTATTGATTCTGATAAAAGGAAATGTAGTTATTTTAACGGGTGCTTCATCCCTTTTTACGAGCGTATGTTCACTCAGTTGAGTTTTAGATTGCCCTTCAACGAATTCAAAGGAGTGTTGGAGCACTTGAAAATTGAAACATTTCAATTACACCTTAATGTTTGGGCTTTCGTGAAGGTGTTTGATCGGGATTATACTTATGTATCCAATGATTCGGACTGCAAGTGCACAGTCTTATCGTGTAGTTTTAAAAGATATCGAACCACAGAGACTGATGAATCAATCTACCGTCTTCTATTGTTACTTTGCAAATCTAAAGCTAATGAATATTTGATTGAGTTGTAGGGAAAACTAAATACTAAATTAAGTTGGATTTTTAATAATCAATGAGCGTAATTACCAGTATGCAATAGTCGAACCTCGGGAACTAGCGACCTGTTGGGTGTCTTTATATTTTCAAAACAGATTTCAGTAAAACTTATTTAGTTTAAAAACCCTCGTCTCATACTGTCGTTTTGTTGATCTAGGCTATGCAGTTAAGTCCTAACGTACGCTTCCGCCATCCCGCAGGAGTTAAAAATACTTTTTAAAAACTAAATAAAATCTTAATTAACTTTAAAGTGCTTCCGCTGTATTTTAAGCCAATGCCTAATTACTATTGTCCAGTTAAAAGATCTCAAACTTCCGCTTTGTTGAACCTAACCTCTATCTGTTTTTTACTTCCATAACAAAACAATTTAATGATTAAAAATAGTAACTTAGGCTAGAAAAGAAATTTTCGTAGTAAAAATAATCCCAACTAAGTTACTCGTTCCCTTGGTTGAGTGACTTTACATACCAGTATAGGAATTCTAGCCTAACATGGTATCAGACCAAATCGCAGAATAATTTAAGAGACAAATAAAAATAAACATAATTATATTGATTAAAAGCAATAAGAATTCGTAAACATAAATCTGGTAATAATTCTAAAGATAGAAGCACTCCTGCACAAATTGTAGGCTTTGCTTCGATCGGAGAATATATTTAACCGTACAAAGGAAACAATGCTGGAAGGAATATAGAATTAACTGGGAAATAAAGTAATGCTGAAAGGAATATTCACTCAAAGTAAATATAAAATCTCCAAAGTTTCTGCCCAAAAAGAAGAACTCTTCTATTGTGGTATAAGGCTCTATTTATAAGTCTTGCGTGATCAGTTGTTCTCGAGAATGTAGGAACAGTTTATTTCCTCCTTTGAGAAATAATAGGGCCATTAATTTGTCACGTTCCTTGGTGTTTTGACTGAGTGGGTCAGATAATATAGGTAGTCACTGGATTAACATTTGAATGTGTTTCTGTCTGTTGGATGCGAAGAAAGTGGGATAAGTGGCCTTGTGACGTTCGTCACATCCAAGTGACGATAGTCACTTGGTCATTCTCAATGCGTGACGTTCAGCATGCCTCCTTGACGATCGTCAAGGTCTTCTTCATGGTGGGCCACGTGCTCACATGTATAATGAGCTTGAGCTCATTTCTTCTCCTTTGGCCTTTTTACTAGTTTTGCACCTCTTTTTTCTTCATTTCTTCCAAAGTGTTCAGCTTAATGCATATCTGCAAAAATAGAAAAATACCTGCATAATACCTATAAAATAATTTAATTTAAACTAAAGTATGAGAAACATTTGGTGTATATCAAGGCAGAAATATCACATATTTGTGTGTCATCAAACTCCCCCATACTTAAACTTTGCTTGTCCTCAAGCAAATTCTAAGTACGGTGTTTTTCTAAACATGGTCAGATGCATGGTTATGACTCGGATTAACTAATATATAGCTGCGTTGTGTTTTTATCAGAAAATCGATGGCTCGATTCATGCTCCATTACTACGTCATGACACTAGACAGTCCCATTTTACGTAAACTAGTTACAGGTCCTATCATAGCCTACCTCGAGTATTTGTCTTGTTTTGCCCTTTTCATTCTAGCACAATCACATTAAGCCCTTTATCTTTACACGCATATAGCAGAACAGTCGGTTAGTGGTTATGATCCTTTTAAACTTTAGAGGTTTCTGGAACAGTAATGTGGCAACCTTTTTCAATTCAATGGTTGGATACGGGGGATCAGACCGTAATCTGCCCTACCGAGTTCAGTACCAGATGCTCCTGAACCATCCACCAAATGAATTTTCATGTTACTTTGTAAGGTTCACATCCTTTGGATTAAGCGATCGGGTAAGGATCGTCCAATTTAATTGGTGTGTTTCCTTGCAACATTTTGCTGAAATATTATATCATCCACTTATATTCATCGACTTCCTGCGTAGTTTGTGTTTAAGACGATGTTAACTGCTAATATAAACTACTCAGGGTTACTACAAAGACTAAACTCAGGGTGTTGGAATGACAGGTACTTGAACTGATCTATGATACTCTGGGGTTGTAGAGTGT